GACCGATGTTATCGCTCGAGACACAAAATACCTCCGACAATTGGGGAGAAATACGAAGAAATGACGTCGTAAATAGTTTGGTTCTGGTAATCATCCAAACTCTATTGCAAACCACTTAAAAAAGTTTTGCACGTTTTTAAAAATACACTACTTTGTTTAATTGCATATAAGAGCATGAATATATGTCACTGAAAATATATGAGTGAACAAGTATAAGTATCTAAATCAATGATTACCGATTACAGAACGACTTAATGCCAAATTCTGCTTTGGACACTTCCGCGTATCCAATAAATATATAATGTTGGGGTCATCTATTATTTTTTTCTCTAATTTTACTCTAACTACAGATATGAGTTTATTGTACGATTACATTCACAGAAACTAGAGTCTTAAAAACGTACAACTTAATGTTACATTTTTTGTTAATAATTTATGTACAACTCCATTCTTAGGGTCAGAATTAAAGGGGAAGGCCTCGAGGATAGATCTCGACCCAATTTACTTCCCTACATTAAAAAGAATACTTACTAGCGTTAACTCCATACGTAACACATTTTTGTTAAAAAGTTTCAACTTCGGGCGTAACGCCTATTTCCTATTGGGTCTTGAATCGTTCTTTATTTTAAGAAAAAAAGCGCATACGGATGCAATTGTTTTGATTTAATTTGACATTTACGCCATTTGCCAGTATGTATGCAAACGACCTTAGGTTGATAATTTTTTATTTAAGGTGCGATGAAACTCCATTCAAATCAGTCAAGGGTCAAGGGCCTCCCTCTTATGGACAGGGAGGAGGGAGGGAGGAAGAGCTCGGCACTTTCGCCGATGTCGGTCCCTTAATTGTCGCTTCTTCCTCGGAGTCCGAGGACGCGATAACTTGTGCCGGTGACTGCGAGTTTCTATTATACGTCCACAAGTGCGCGGAGCCACGTATACGTGCACGGAGCCGGGTGTGGTAACCCAAATGGGTTACCGAGAGCAGAGCACCAGTGGATCGGAGGAAGCGGCACGAAATTTACTACGCCGGAGTACCATTCCTATTATGGAAATAGCCGTCCCGCAGTGAATATTTCTTTGGAGAAAATTCTCCCAGCAGGCCATCCCTCGGAGCGGCGTTAACTGATTTTATCGTTTGCGAGTTACGGCGTCAAATCGTTCGATGCCGACGTAGACGCGGGAGAAGGTGGAAACCCCGGAGGAACTCCACCCGATATGCCGTCACCTCCGCTGGCCCCTCCAGAATCTCTCCCCATCCACTAACCTGACTTTAACTCTTAAACTCTCGGCGAGACATCCGGCGAGCCGTCTCGCAGGAAGCGACTTCAAAAAAACAATTCCCGTTTAACCCTTTAATTACAAAACGCCACTAAAGTGGCTTCCGTCTGACCGACGTTTTTTTACGAAGCCATTATAGTGACCCCCTTTCATTCCCATGTATTCAAAGCGACAGATGAATATCGTATTCATGTAAGATATTGACACTTCACGATCGAGCTATCTGTACAGGTGGGACATCACGTCCGATTCCACCATAGTTTAAAGATTAACGTTTCAAGGTGAAATGAAACCCACCGATAAACTTAATCGTTGGCGCTAAAGACAAATTCTTCTAATTGATACCCCATCCGAAACAGCGCCACGTCCCCACTGTTTATATTTATATTAGCAAATGTGTCGTACTTCATTGAGAATTGGACGGAATGGCAGGAATAACTATCAGAAGGTCGAAGTAAAACCTAAGAAATCTCCAGGATTCGAATTTCTTAATGCTCTGATTTACCGTAGAGCCATCTGGTGTACTCAGCCCTAAGTTAATTTTCTCTCTACACGCGTTAACTTTGTTTTAATTCAGAAATTCTCAGAACAATTCTTTTGTCCGTATCATTTAATTAAGCGTATTTAATTGTTGTGCCATGATCCCGACACTTTCGCTTCTCACGTCGTTGTCTTGAAAAATTGAATATTGATCTAAGTTTTGTAGGACGACCTCGCCTTTGTGCTGATCTAGACTAAATTAACAGAATTCTGAAAATGCCATAAGATTCCTTAGGTGCTAACATTTCAGCTAGAATCTGATAACGAGGCATATGTGCCCAATAACCCAGTGTGCCGATAACACTAATGGGCTGCGTAATTCGCGGTTTCATCAGGGTCCAATAACTGGTGCCCAAAACAACGTTAGAACAGTGTTAAACCTAGTTAATAGATTTTCTACGGAAGCGTTGAACGGATATGGGGTTTAGGTAATTCCGGTTACGTAATGTTGCGTTCACGAAACTTCACGTCTTGTGGAAAAGCGCGACTTCGGAATGATTCAAGTACCAGCAAACTCGGGTTTCTATCCCTAACTTCTAACTTCTCTAACTTCTCACGCGCAAATGATGTTCTTCGATATGTAGTAAACATCTTCCTGGATACCAATTCGAGCCCCGCTATTTCCAATTTTAGTATGCACTTGTATTCGAAAGTGTTCGCAATATCGGATGCTTTCACGCGACCGCTCTTTTAGAACCGGGGTTGTTCGAAATTGAGTATGAATTTGTCCCGTTTTCATTTCAAATATCGCTGTTCCCGGTTTTAGTATACACTTGTGTTCGAAAATCAAAGTATCGAGACTTTTTTAACCGCGAACCTCTTATCTGATACGACTCGACATTTTTGACCCGATCAGATTGCTCTTAACGTACTGCGGACCTTTATATTTCGACTAGGGGAAGGTAATTGCTGTTAAGTGACAAAGGTCTGGTTCCGCCAACCTCGATTAACAAGTTAACCCTCGGTTACGATGAATCGTGCCTTTATTCAAACGCGCGGTTCAATAGTCAATTCAATCGATGTTGATGGAACCCACTATTAATTATCTTTCCAGAGTTGTAACTACTTATAACACGATATTTTCTATGCCCAAATAGTTTTGGACAATGTATTAAAAAAGCGTTTGTACTGAATTGCTCAATTTTATCCGATCTCCCCTATTCCCTTTACGGTGCACTCGGCGAATACCGTGCGGGTCATTGAAAGTGCATATTGCACCTCGTGTGCAACCGAGAACTGCGCGGGGAGAAGCCCTGGGAGCTAATGATTTGTAACGGCAAACTTCATCGGTAGACGGAACTCATAATTTTGTTGGTTTGACGGGAAGTAATTACAATTTATGCACGATTACACGAGAGACAGTTGGCTCCCGCGCGTTGCAGGGGAATTTACAGGGCGGGCTGCAGCTGCATGGGTGTCCTGACTGTACAAGCGTGGAGTGCAGTCAAACTGCAGCTGGAATATGCAGGCCAGTATAACACGTATAACCTACGTACCTCGATGCGATTCGTTTCGTCACGTATTTATTACGCCAAACAAGTTGCTGGAGAGTTTGTGCCGGCAACAGCAGCTGCACTCTGCACGCCATTTTTCATAGCTTTTTCCTCGAGACATTTGTCGCACTTTCAACTCGCACGTGAGGAAATTTATTACGGTCACTAGTGCCACTTCTGTAATAAACGCGGGATTGCTGCTGCAGTGACAAGCAATGATATAGATACATGTTTCATTAACGCTTTTCAATGTGAACTTCTGACCTTAAGGGGGCACGAGCAAAGTCGACATCTTTTTGACCTTAGAAACTTTGGAATAATTTGACATCGCTACATAGTATTATTTGTTATTCTGCAAATCATTTCTTGTAGGTTTTATTCAGAAATATTAACGATTATATACGTTACAATAAATTATGTGCTCTCCGCGACCCTGTCATGATGTACACGATGCTCGCCTTATGGTCAGTTTAAAAAGAGAAGTATAATCCAATAATTTTCACTTTTGGGAAGGGTGAGGAAAAAACGTGAAAACGGTGTAACTTCTACAGCATCGACTATGACAGCATCGGCATTGGTTTCGTTTCATTTGCAGGGTTGGCCATTGCAGTTGTTTGGTTTCATTCGGGCTCACAAAGGGTTATTACGAACGAATTAAACGATGTCCCACGCAATGTGGTGCATTACATCTAACGAAGATCAAAGGGGATTAGCCGGGTCACGTTACATGTGTTTTAAATGCCATTTTGGTGCGCTTTCTGCAAACGGGAAAATGTTCGTTGCTAATCCAAAAATATCACGTATCAATGAACAAATTCGAAATATAATCTTAACCCCGATCAGAATGGAGGAACATCCTACTGGTGAATTGTTCCCTCAGTTACATCAACTACGAATTTTATATGCAATATAATATACACTACAAAGTGCATGTAATACAATCTATTAGGCCACTCTGAAAGAGCCATCGTTTTCTAATAACCTATGAAACCTATAAAAACAACAGATTTTTTGACATTACCTAGTATTGGGTTGCCTCATAATAACTCATATCTAAAACTCGTATCTGAGCCTTCTCCGTTTTGCGTTCGCGCCCAACAAGTACAAATACAAAAACGACAACGACCCAGCGATTATTTTAACCCATACACAAGACTAAACTTAATTGGTCGTACTAAACTAAACCCCGTCGAAAGGACAAAATCCGCGTTACTCGTCGTCGCTTCTAGGATAAGGACTACAGATGACGAAAGCCAAAACTCATATCTGAGCCTTCTCCGTTTTGCGTTCACGCCCAACAAATACAAATACTAAAGTGACAGCGACCCAGCGATTATTTCAACCCATACACAAGACCAAACTTAATTGGTTGTACTAAACCAAACCCCGTTGAAAGGACAAAATCCGCGTTACTCGTCGTCGCTTCTAGGATAAGGACTACAGATGACGAGAGCCAAAACTCATATCTGAGCCTTCTCCGTTTTGCGTTCGCACCCAACAAATACAAATCCAAAAGCGACAGCGACCCAGCGATTATTTCAACCCATACACAAGACCAAACTTAATTGGTCGTACCAAACTAAACCCCGTTGGAAGGACGAAATCCGCGTTGCTCGTAACTTTGCCAATTGCAGGTGTCGATGCAGCTTCAACAGATCTCGCGTAACTGGCATTGATGTGTCATTTCAGGTGCGATTTTCCACGACGGCGACGAGCTGCACAAGAGGGTGTTCGAGTACGCGGTCACGAAGCTGAAGGACGAGCGCGTCGCACCTGTGTTCGAGCTGCAACCGATCGTAAAGTGGATAAACGTCAGTACCGACAGCTTCAACACGGCCGCGGCCGGTGAGTACTTCTGATTTGTGCGGTGCGGAAAAATCGTGGCTTACTTGGCCAACTGCGAGTTGCGAACTGGAAACGGAGAACGCCAATGCCGACTCGCTCAAGTCGAGCATGGAGCGCTTTTTCGGATTAACGATAAGGGCGGCGGAGAGGATGAAAAACAAAAATGCGCGAGTCGGAACTTTTAATGGAGAAACTAGGTATGGCCGGCGCGTGTCGATGCGAGTGGTGGAACGCTGGAAATATCGACGGGATTAAAGCTACGCTCGAATCGCGCCAGTTACGAAGTGCCGAGTGTGACCACAACGGGAGTGCGTAAACGTTCCTTTTTTGGGAATCGTCGATGAAAATCGGCACCGGTCCAAGCGGCTTTTAAGCCCAACCGCGAGGCTGCCGAAAACGCTTGTTTGCCTCCTCGTTAGGGGAACGGAAAAAAAGATCTTGGCAGTTTGGAATTCTAAAGGGCGATCGCTTGGTCGTTACTTCGCGTGAATGGAACCTCAACTTGAGGTTGAACAAGTATCGCCTGAGACAAGAGACCATAGACTCCGACGTAGCGTCGGAGGTTTGAATGATCTTATTCCTCAATCTACTATGTGCAACACGAATTTCACTAATCCGAGATAATCGCTAATCACGGTTCAATCTGTCCTAAGCATCCACTTGAAGTATTAAATCGTGCCCATGATACTGTAAAGAGATGGTGATTCAGTTTTTATTTAAGAAATGATTAGAACAACTAAGATCATAGTTTCCTTTTATAATACTAAGTAACATACGCGGTTATCAGATAAGAACAACTTTGATCTTTAGATGTTGCAGTATTTTCGGGGAGGAGCGTACATTAAATACATACATTATAAATGCAATAATTTTGAAATGGTATGCGCTTTGACCGAATTTTATAAAGCTTGCCGTGGGCTCGGTAGTCAGGGCAACCGAACGACGCGGCGTCGAGTGCAAATTCACGTACTTCTTGAAAAAAGAGCGTTACGAATCGTCGAAAGTGATCAGGCCGACAATACAGGAAATAACTCCCAAGGGAACGCGGAAGGTCGTATGCACGATTGGATATTCAGCCTGCTTTTTTTAATTTTTCCTTCGGATCGAAAATGGACGTGGATTCGTCTTCCGAAGCATACCAGGAACTGACGTTTCCGTTCTTCCGGAAACGCGCAAATCCCAAGATACTCGCTTTAAAACATTCCTGATGCATCCTCCCGACGTCCATCCGGAGACATTGTGATGTCGAGTAATGCATCGGAATTTTATCTTTTTAAGTTATTTCATTTCCATGTCCGCTTCAGGACTGAATGGTTTGTTGTTTACATTCCTGCAACTTGCCGCATACAAGTTATTAGTAACTAATTACGACTGATAAGAAAAAGACGAATCACCAAATTAGAGAAAGTAATTCTGTTTATATGCACGTGACGATAACAAATGAATTAGTTTTTTTTCTTCATAAGAGAAATACTAGCTTCCACAAATATTGTAAATGTATTGCATATTGATATCATTTCGGACAGTACTTTTTCAGCTTTTTCCAGCTCAACAGGAATTAATTACAAATAAATCTCGTAACCAAAAACTGTTTAGCATCTCTATGAACAGGAATGGGAACCAATGGCAAAATTCCTGGAATCGTTAACACTGGGAACGCGAAGGTCTAAAATTCGCTAACGTTTAGGTTAGATTGCTGTACAATTAATTACACCCCCCTAATTACGTCTCCTTCGTCCCTATTTCCTCCGTACCTCCAAAGTGGTAAAAACCCCGAGCTTAACTTCTTCATTTTCTTTAAGAAAATTATAACTTTTAAAACGGAATTTGAATTTTTTGCGTGATACGTGTTCTTGTACATCGAAGTTGTTTTTTTTTCGAGGTGATTTTTACGGATTCGTTAGGTATTTCGCTGGTCGCAACGGATGCATGCATTTTCCTCCGAAAAATCGTAACACCGTCCGATAGGCGAGTCAGATTGAAGAAGAAAATGAATTTTCAATCGCAGCATGTCAACTGCTGGAGGAGGGTGTGGCGGCCATCTTCGGACCGGGGAGCACACACACACGCGGCGTCGTCTCCAGCATCGCGGCGCATTTCGACGTCCCCCACATCGAGTTCGCCTGGCGCCGCATCGAAGACGCATTTCCACCCGCCAACAATGTCAATGTCCATCCAAACAGTAAAAGCGTCTCGGAAGTAAGAAATCTAATTTCTCCCCGAGCTCTAGGTATTTCAAGAAGTCACCCGAAATCGGGTCAGTGGACGTAAATGGCTCTTCCATATTCTCCCTCCAGGGTGAAATATGACTACGAAGACGCTACACCGCGAAAAAATATTGCTCTTAACAACAAATACTTTCCGCAGCTCCTAGAAGCGGACTTTATTGCATTGTAATTTCTTCACCCTCACTGGATTAAATGCCACAGGCTCTGAAGGCATTTTAATCAAAGTGCATGGCGGTCGTCCTGCATGCATAGTGTCCGTAGAAAGAATTATGGAGCAATAAGAACTCTGTATGAATCAGAAATGCAATTTTAGTGTGATGGATAAAGTGACTCGCAATCGCCAGTTTTTCCTCGCAAAGTAGATGGAAAAAGTTACTCCCGCACTTTCTGTGATGTTTTACTTTTCTCTTTTTTAAGTGCCGTGGTTACCCGGAAAGATCTAACGGAATTTTAGAGATGTGTTGGAGCGTCTAGTTTGGTAATTCGCTACTTGCAGGTCATGACTATTTCATTCCAAGGGACGAAATAAGATTGCAGGTAACCTAAAATCGGAAACGATTTTAGGCTACCTGCTCTTATGCTCTTATCTTAATGATCTTCATTAACAGTACAGAAGAAACTTCTATCAGGTCGCGTTAAGATTCGTAGGGAGTCTGTAAGAAGCTACCTTAGGAGGAATGGAGACACAAAGGACCGAAGTGCGGTTTAGTAAAGTTAGGACGAACCTTGCATCTTCCGAGGTGCCGTTGTCACGCCTTGGGCAGAAATTGGAAATATCGATACCAGCAGCGACCTCTCCAAAGCCACGACAGGCGCTCACTTTGCCTTGCCGACATGGGATGAATGGTAGGGTGAGGTTAGGTGCTCCAGGGTGATCACGTACATCTCTCCGAAGGCACCATCGAGCCGTCAATAGAGTGGATGGACTACTGCGTGAGCTATTCGAACCCGAACCAGATCCTAGAAATGACGCGCGATGGGCAACCAACGGCAACCTAGAAGCCAAAATTGGTAGTCGATCCCCCGGATTGATGGATCTATAATCGGTGGCCAATTTATTAATTACACCCTAGTTTGTTACTTCAGATTCAACCCTTATCATTACGCGTACAGACGTATTCCTTCCTCGACAAATATATTTATTTTAATGCTAACAATATTGTCTTTGCTTTTTCCTTTGATGGCGACCCCGACAGTGATCCTATATAGAATGCCTGGGAACTTCTCAGGAAAAACACCTCCGGAGAAAATACTACAAGAAAAACAAAACTGATCGAAGCATTAATAAATACTTGGCATCGTGACCGAAAATTAAAATACAATGCAAACAAATGCATCCAAAGCATGCCAGGAGGGATTTAGACTGAGGGCAATGACAAAAAAGGTTCTACCGAATACTAGAAAAATGTGGAAATGTTTAAAGCATTACTGTTCTTCAATATGTGTTGTGTAATATGTAAAGATTTCCTGTTCGGTAACAAGAGCTCCCATTTTATCTATCAAACATCGATAATTCATACATCGACTAGGCACTTATGAGATGTTATTGCTTCGGATTGATCATAATGTATTTTTAAGATGTGTAGCTAATAATTTGGCTACCGACAGTAGGACGAACCTTGTAGCTCCCGAAATACTACTGTTGCGTTTTGGGCAGGAATTTGAAATACAGGCAGCGACTTCTCTAAAGCTGTACGACGTTCCTTGTCAACACAGGTCGAACGATAGGGCGAGGTTAGATACTTCAGGATGGGCGTCTCTCCGAAAGCGGCGTCAAGACATCAGCAGAGTGGATGGACTATCGTGTATGCTACCCGATTTTGCTCCAGATTCTAGAAGCAATACGCGAGCGACAACCAGTGGCGACCGAGAAGCCGAAGTTGGTCGTTGATACCCCGGATTGATAGATCTAGCCCGGATGGGATCTATCGCAAACCAATCCCGTCCTCCACGCCATGGGTTAATTACGAGATCGCCCTAGGCGAGAAAAGCCAATTGGATTGACCGTCGGGAAAGATGAAGAGGGAGGATCGCGTCCTCGAGCGGCGCGTGCCGCGAGGAGTCAATGAGGTCCTCATTAAGCTCTGATCAAAGTCTTGGCACAGGGCTCAAAGTGCTGGGCCGAAATGCAATCCAGATACAGACACGGGCGCGCAATCTGCAGGAACAGTAGGGCATCGGCTCTAACAGCGACATTCGGCAAAGGGAACACATCGGAGGACCATTGACTAGGTCCCAGAAACCACCAGTTGGACCGTAACTGCGGATGAAAATTGTCGAGTCCGTCATTACTCGCTTAGTTTCTGAAGAGTTGTTTTGAATATTTGGGATACAATTCCTCTGATTTATTAACGCCGAGCTGAGCATCTTCCAAACCGCAAATGGAAGTGATCGATTTATATTATCCGATCAGATACAATACGGAAACGTAGCCTTAGCGCCTCTCCTTTGGGACTTCTTTCATAAAAGTTCAGATTGTTTAACGAATGCATTCAACTCAAGCCAACATGATTTTGATTAAGTGATTTTGACAACTATCTTGCCCTATTACGTGTTCAATTTGTCGATATAGTCTTTACCTTACCTGAATGATATAAGATATTAAATTATCACACACAATAACTAAGCTCATGATTCATCGCGAAAGTAATGAATATGAATTGCAGAATATTGTTGGATGTAGTCTGAAATTTGTTTATACTATATGTAAGTTTTGTTTCAGACAGGTTCAGACAATTGTATAAGTTTCTTTTATGCAATGACGTAATTTTAGTTCAAAACCCTACAATATGATCTAGTTAATGGTATAAAAAGGAGATAAATTATCAAATTAAGAAGTTTCATATCAATGAAAGCCACATCTTGCGTCTTTCAGCAAAAAAGTTTCCTGATTTCTGTAGCCGACGTCTGCACTTCGAAAGAAAAAGGAATTCTGTCCAAGTATTCCTCTACGATTCTCGTTTTTATATCGAGAGCTATCTTCTTGTCAGTTCGAAACAAAAGATAAGAATAACCGCGGTGACATCTTAGTTAATGGAAGTTTTCACCGCTAAAGTTATTAGTAACTTCGAAGATTAATTCCGATATTCCAATGAGAGTTATAATAAACTACGTGCCACAAGCTACTCTTGTAAGTTTTCCAGTCCGTCATTTATACTACGAGATGCTGGAATGATTACAGAGCGGTGAACAGAAGCTCTTCTCTTATCATTTCTACTGTCACCATTAAACCGGTAGCCACAACTCTCTGTGAGATTTACACAAATTGGAACACAGCTTCTTAAAAAACGCAATATTCCTGGAATAATTTAAGCAAACAGTTAAAAACCAGCGAGTTTATGACCTTCAAATTGTTATTCTAAGACATGTTAAATAAAAAATATATTATTCGCAAGCATTAAACACACCGTCTGAGAAACCATAAATTTGAATAGGTCAGCATACAACATATACACATTTGTTTGATACCTTCGAATAATATATCGTCTTCGTTCAAACAATATTGGCTTTGTAACTTTTACAATGTTAAATTCAATGCCACTTGTCCCAATTAAGTGAAGAATTAATGTTCTGTGACAATCTATAAAACAGTGAGCATTATAATAAATATTAAACAGTAAATAAAATCAAAGATTATTTGCACGCAGGTGACCATTTAAACTTATCAAGTACTTCTGAGATGATTCTCTGATGATACAAGTGCTCAATGTCAGTTCAGTCTTACCCGACAAGTACAAGTTCAATGTCAAGCAAAATTAGTACTGGTAAATTACAAAACAATGTTGAGAGATGTGTGAATAATAAACTATATCGGAGGACCGAAGGTTAAAGCCAAACGCAACGGCATTGTATTCACGAAAAAGCAGCCGTGTGCAGAAAATACTTTTCTTGATATATTACATGTCGCGCGGAAAGAAATAGTGTTTACAGAGAAATGCAATTAAAGTTGAAATTGCAATTCTGGTTCATACTGCGCGCGTACTGATAGCTTTCTTTTTTCCACAGCCGTTTCGTCACTGTTAGGAATTTCGCACGTTTCAGAGTGTCCCCCTAAACAAACAAAAAGTGGCCGATTAAAATTTATATGAAATTAGTAAGAGAACTGCTAAATAATTCTTCAACATTGTGCAGGCGATAGCCGAGGTACTGAAGGCTGTGGAATGGCGTCAATTTACGGCAATCTACAAAACGCAAGATGGACTGTCACGCATTCAAGATGCTCTTTTATTGCACGGACCACAGGACTTTCCTGTCAGCATACTTCATTTGGGAGATGGTCCCGACTATCGACACTTGTTAAAAGATGTTGCTTCATCTAACAAGTTCAATATCATTGTAGACGTGGAGAACCCTTACATCACGGATGTATTAAGACAGGCGAGGGAAGTCAAGCTTTTCGAAGACTATTATAACTATATTATCACTGACTTGGTAGGTGACATTCTGTTTATTATCATTTTCCGATTAACGAATAGCGTTGAATAACTGCAAGACAATGTGTCTCATACCTTGGTCTTGGTCTTATGCGGTCGAGTTTTGGTTTTGGCCTCACATTTGTTCCAAGACCAAGACCGATTTTTCTACCCCCTCAGTAATGAGCAAATGCAAGACCTAGACCAAGATCTACTTTGCCCATTACTAACAACAAATCCCTAACATAACTTCTACTAAAAATAGCTAAAACAGTTGTTCTTACCACGTTTTCGAGATGAACAATTAAGATTATAATCAATAGCGATTCAAAGTAAATTATTTTTTTGAATATCCCATCAGCACGAGTTGTGCATCTGGATAACAATATTACTGCAGGCATGGTTCTGCTCTTGCAATACTGGTTTATAAATAAACCGGTCTTGGAAAAGTGCAAAAATAATCAAGTTACAATTTGACGCTAAGTAATTTAGTCCAAGTATTCCTAGTCTATATTCAACGCGGTTGTATAATACCATTCCATGAAACTTAATGTATTTTGATTTACAGGACATAACTACAACGGGCATCCTTGATGTAATTAACGAATCAAGAGCCAACATCACGGGGTTCCGTCTGCTGACCGATGAAATCGATGTCATCAGTACGGAGCTTAACTCCAACATCCAGGTAATTATCGCAGGTGAAGATGTATAGCCGTAAACACGTCCAGGACCAATCGAAACCGGAACGAGGCCTCGTCGAACGGTTAGCCGGGCCATTACAGTGGACAGTATTGCAAATTACGGCGTCGTTTCGCTCGATCGAGCATCCACGAAGAGGCTAATAGCTCGTACGGGATTCGCGGACTCGCTAGAAGTCCATCGGCGATCCAGAACTCTCCGGACACTTTCCGATGGTGCATTGCGGGAGGTTCCCCGGAATAATTTACGGCGGAATTGTTAAACAGTTTCTCCGCAATGGTCATTACGGGTTTCTTCTTTCTCCGTGGGTTTTCCTCTGCAACTCGTGGTCTCCCTTGTTTCGGCGGAGTTCGGTATCCGGCTTTTCTCGATGAGACCCCCGAGAGTCCTGGACCAGTATCTCGGCGAGCTCGGCTTCGAAGTATCCCACGGGACACCCCACTCGATTTAATTCGTTATCGCCTTAGGACTGCCAAGTTTTACCGGGTCGCGTCCTTTTCAGCCCCCGAAACTTCAAGACCATTTCACGGAACGAATTCAACCAAAAGTGTATAAATAATGCAGAACTTTTTAAGTAATAGTTCAAGTTAAATAAAAAACTTCGTTAGAGAAACGCATTTTTTGAGTGTCGGGAAGTCTCGACGTCTCTAGAATCATGTGGTAAAACTTCAGACAAGGAATTTCTCGGTTCACGCGTTAAAACAAACAGGTGCATCCACGGATTTTAATCATCGCCGATCGTTAAAAATCATCTTTCGTGTTGTATTAAACGTATGCTTGAATTCTGCTCTGTACCAAGATATGAAACGTTCTCTTGCCAAAGATGCTTAATATATAGTATAAAATAAATGGGAAACGAACTATTTCGGGGAACGTCGTTACAGGGGAACCGCCGATATGAAACTCGTTATTATTGACTATTGTCAAAAGACACACAAAAGATGGTCGGGAGAGAAGCGTGCACAAGGTGCCCGGATACAACAATAGTTCCGCTCATACGTTTTGGGTCGCTTCCTGAAATTCCTAAGTTTTGTACAGCATACATTGATGAAAGAACTGGTACGGCAGTCGTAAAGGCTTAACCAGCTAGAGATGAGAATGACGTTTAAACTATTGCGTGAATATTCCAGTAAATAAAAGTGGAACTGATGAAACGTATTGCAGACGTTTTATAGAGTCAAGAGTTCCCCGCGAACAACAGGGCACATGTATACGTAACGTATGTCGTATCTTCGTTATTAAGATAAAAGGCTGTAAAAAATCTGCCCGCTCACAAAGGGTTTTCAGCGATCCGAAATCTTTTGAACGCTTCCGGGGCAATGCTGAAAGCTTCGGCGAACGAATCCCTCCAGAACTCTTGGAGCACTCTTCCCGGCAGATATTCTACCTTTCCCCTTTCCTCGGTATTTTCCTTGGCATCTCTAGGCGTCGCTTCCGCCTCCCTTGTTTTGACAAGATTCGGCATCCCGACTTCTCCCGATGAGACCCCCGAGAGTCCTGCCCCGGTATCTCGTCTGACTCCACCTCGAAGTACCCCCTGGGATATCCCGCTCGATTTAACTCGTTGTCGCCATACAACTGCAAACTTCTACCGGGCTGCATCCTTTCTAGAGGCCCAGAATTCAAGCAGCCGTGCAAAGCGGATCCAAAGAATAACTGAAATACTATTGTCTTTTATTTGACTGCGTTCAAACTTTCCAATCATGCTCCGCCAGACGTCGAAAGGAACCATCACGCCTGAAGTACGACTCCTCGAGTACGAGACCACTCGATGCGATTTCCGATTCATTACCGATCTGCGAGCCGACAGGAAACGATCCAAAGATTTTTCCTACTTCACCGGGGTCACCCGAGATATTCGATTATAAACTCGAACAATTACACGATGAGTTTGGAAACCAAGAGTGACACACCCCTCAAATCATTCGATTCGAATAAGACACTTTTTTTAAGGGTATTGCGTCGAACTGTCTGAAACTTTGACACATGACTCGTGAGCACTTATGAATTATCCTGACACTTTCAAAATTTGGATTTTCGAAAATACATTTTTTAACTTAACACAGACCGGAATTAATATGCCGTCGAGCTCTCATATTTCGATCGATATACAATGATTAATTCTATTCTAAAAATGTTCTGAGCTATAAATAATAACAAGAGAAAAATGAAAATAAGATTAAGAAGTTCGAAAATGAGACAATTGAAATGGGACTTTCAATTTTTCACTTTTTCGACATTTAAGCAACAGCAAGAATGTGGAGAGAAAATATTTAAACAATAAAAAAGACACTTCGTGAGAGAGAATACCAGAAAAAGTGTTTGCTCTTTTAAATTCAGACAAATTTTGTTTCATCGCCGATACGTCATTCTTAGTTTTTATTTTTCTTGGCTAATATAAGCGACAGGGTTCAAAAAGGGTATAAATCAGTTTAAATAGATGTGCGTGTCAAATGCTAACACTCCTTCCGAAAGGTAGCAGGGATTCTTGAGCCAAGAATTTATGAGAAAGAACTCTTAAAAACTGACCAGGACCCTTTTACTACGTGTTCGGAAGTAGGAAAACTCGAGAGGGAGACACGTCCACTTCAAGCCCGGATTTATTGCAGTGGGCATGCTATCTCCTCCTCGGGGTATCCACTTCCGCATTTTTTGCAACCACCAGTAGTTTTTTTCAAAAACAAATCAATTCCGCCATCGCCACTCGGATTACACCGTTGGCCAAATGCACTTTGTTCTTTGAGATTTTTAGACACTTTTTCAAAAACGAATAAGTCTTTCACGTGACTAATAAAATGTTATCATTTTCAAGTTCATAATATGTTTGTTTAACCTACGTTCGATTTATCAAGAAACTCGGTAGAATTTCGCGGCAAATATGTCAGCGCGTATAAACACGATATAAACGTGAGTACTTTACCCTATGTTCGAAAATTCTCATTATCTTCCTCACAATTAAACATTACCGAAAAGGTGGTTAATTTGCCCCAGTTTTCTCTACTTTCCTTGTTAAAGTACATCTTACCAATAAATATGTATATCTATCAATATTTAGCGCGCAGGTTGCATAATATAATTTTGAAGCAACATACCAATTCTTTTACATATTTTGGAACTAATTGTTCTGTATGCAATTTATGATACAAAACCGATTCCCATCAGGAATTGAAAGGCTCATGGAAATTACTTAAACAATGAGTATCGGAAACGACCTATAAATTATCGCATAATAATTGTATTGATTTTTCATCAATACCCTTTAATCCGATACATCAACCTTTAAGCAGGAGTTCGATGTTCGATATACGTATAAGGTCTTACTCTGGGTGATATGATGAGATCCCATAAATCCTGATACGTCGTAATAGATTCTCGTTTATGCTCTAACCATTTTTCTTCATATAATCCATCACGATCCAACATGAACCGAGAGAAAATATCTTCAAAGTAGTTATTCGTTACGGTTAATGTTATTTAAAACGTTAATTATTTAAATGCTTTAGTAAAATACGAAATGAAAAGCTTTCGTTTACTAATAATCGCCTAACCTACTAGTGCATCAAATTGCCATATACTTTAATAATCAGTTTTGAATTAATATCGAGAAAATCTGATGAACTTTGTTGCACCTCAATCTTTTAAATTGCATGAATATTATTACCTTCACGTAGTTATAGTTTGGTTAGGCCTCAAGTGCCAAAAGCTAACATTAATTGTTAACTGAATTGGATGGCTAAATTCGAATTTAATATCATTTAATAACGTCTTTATTTAAAGTTAATGTTACAACGTTGATAGAAAATGCTCTGTACCGCGGCAGCAGAATCTTAATGTTTTTGGGGACCTTCGTGATTTAACCCTTAACCTGTTAACCGGGTATGACGAATTTTTTGACATACCAGGACACCTCAAATGGGCATGACGACTTTTTTCGTCATGGAAGGTGTGATAATATTACTATAAAGTCCCCATTGTGAAAGGAGTTGTACAAAAGTCAATTCCCCGGTTAACAGGTTAAAAGGTGGACTCTACTTTATTTGCAGACATGCAAATTGCTGGCGTTTATTTTAAGGTGTTTGCTACAGATTGGTTACAGATTGCATTTACGAAACGCCCACGGTTCAATAACAATTGAATAACTCTGCATACTGTAATTCCCGCAGTTTAAGCATCAAGACCAAAAATGGAATTATTTAGTTGACTACTAAATCCAAAACTCTATTTTCTGACGTCAAACGTAGCTAGGTGCACCATTTAACCGTTCTAGAATCAGACCACAATATATCGTATTAAAAGTGCTTTCGACTTCGGTCGGCATTGAAAGGGTTAAAACCCGTCTTCACTACGGTCTTCATCTTAAATGCATAATATTTTGAATTCGCCGTTCTAAAAGCGTCAAATTGAACACGGGATTTTGAACCTATCCAGCCATATCGACAATAGTCAAATAATTTGTATTCTTCAACATTGCCAGGAAAGCCGTTTGCTTGAGACCAATACCGTTCACCGTTACGACGCTTTTTCAGAAGCGTAAAACGAAACTTTTACCCTTGAAGCAACTCTTTCTTACTTATTCCAACAATGGGAAACTACCCTTAGACCCCTTATACTCCTCGAGCAAGCAAAAGGGGTGTTTCCAAGGGTCCTTGGTCTTGCGGCTGAAAATCGTCTGAATCCCAAGGAGGATCGTAATAATTTCATAAGTCCTCGAAATATTCCGGAGACGCCACTCCCGTTTCCTCGGCCGACGCGATGGGCCAGAAATGCACCCCAAAAATGCGCATTTGCATCAGCGCCGACTGAACGCCCTCCGCTTCCACCGGAAGAAAAGCCGGTGTGTCCGGCATTCGAGCCACCGCGGTGAAATTTGGCTCGTTCGGGGTAATTTCTTCATTAACCTCCTCCCCTCGTGTGTTCCTACTTCATCCCCGCAATGGCCGCTTTCGAGTGCGCCCCTGGTGCAACGACCCGGCCATTTTACAAACCAACCCACAACAGGCTCTCGTTGCCAGCTGACGGTTTCCTTAATTTTTCTTTGATTAACCCAGTGCGTGTTCTCTTTTCGGCCCCACCTTCTTCACATTTTTCTGCCATTTCTTCAAAAATTATAAATACCCTAGGCTGACAAAACATTTCACGATACCATCAGTTAAAGGTTAGCTCGGCATCGTTAAAGTTAGGTGTTACGTTTCTTTTCTAATTGCAACATTTCCCGGTAACTGTTTGTTACACCTTTGGCTGAATTACGAAAACACTTGCGGGGCGCGGTGCAACTTAAACAATATTTTAATCAGCAATGCACATGTATTTTCAAAACCTGCACAAACACCTTTGCAAAAGCGTCGCGTCGTTCCCAACAACAAACTATTAGATATTTGACGAAAAATTGCATTGAAAAAAAAAGAATAGAAAGGCTTACGTGTGCAATGAAGTTGTAATACGTTTTGCAACTGTTTTTTTACGAATTCCTCTTAATATTTATTGTATTACATAGTCGGGATAAACCCATATACCACCTACATCCATTCTTTTCAACCGATGTATAAATGTTTATTGGCAAAAAGCAAGAAACACGTATTTCCTCAATTTTTGTGAGTAATCACATGGCGTACGTGGAACTTAAGTAGGAGTGCTTGTTTAATAGATGTTACAAAAAAATTTCCCCTTAGGGTAGTTCACCCTGTTGAGGTGGTGTAGCATTACTGAACTAAAATTCGAAACGTATAATACATTTCTATCTCGCGTACAAAAAATCAATCGAGAAAAAGAGAAGAGAATAATAGAAAATGTTTAATGAATCTCACATGTAATTTTTTCATTTAAACGTATTTGATGTTACTTTCTGGTATTATAAACCTTTGACTATGTCTTTTGCCTCCAATGAAAAAAATCTAAGAGATGAATAATAAAAGTAGTGTCCTCATAAATCACGTAGAGTTCTACTGCGTTCGTAAACAACCGGCAGAACGTTAAAAACAATTCTAAATATTACTATCAAGCGTGGAAAATGAATTTTTTCAAGCAGGAATACTGCAATTTAAAAAGTTATGAGATTCTGAAAGGTGATACGAAACCAAATATTTATCTGCAGGCTCGAGGCTCGGTTTGTTACTTTTGGTGAAATATTATAAAACCTCTGTGGACACATTCGAAGTTAAAATACCGGCGTTTTAACCATTCTAATTCGTATACGTTTCTCGGTTACGATGGACGTTGTAGCAGTCCAGAAAACAAGGATAATTATTTCCCAGCATCCCGTCAGTCGTTACAGGGCGACTCGCCGTGTACAACGCTTGGATTTTCATAACGAGCCTTTCCAACCGCAACGCTTGCTCTCTCATTCGTGCTCACGAATTTATCTTTGTCTTGTGCTCTTTTTCACAAACGGAATTTTAATTGCTCCGTTCGGAATAATGTCTTCTTATCAAGGAAAATTTTTGATAAATATTACCTTTAACAATGATTTAATAAATTCAGGCTGAACAGGCTATTCTCTACGACTCCGTGAATATGTTGTACGATGTTCTGGAAGTCCTGTACATCCGAAATCAGAACAGCGAAGAACCGGTGAAGATCGAACCTACAGCGCTATCTTGCGGTGGAACGGACAAGTACGAAGCCGGACCTACAATTCTCAGCATGATACACGAAGTGAGTGCATTTCATTTCTCCCTGATTATGATTACAGATTTCTTATGTTTGAAATTTAACCCAGTACAACTCGCATTTGTAAAATGATTTGTGTAATTTCTGAATAGTTTCGAAGAAACTTACCATGGTAAAGTATTACCGACTACAGGGAAAGGTTTATGTCCGAGCTATAGAAGTGGTTCAAAAGATTACCACGCAGGTATACCAGCGCTGATTCGTATCGGCGAAATCGTGTTATAATATTTCACTCATTATTTTACATTTATAATTTCATATTACGCAGAATTTATATATCATATAAATGTTATAGTTCGAACGATCAAAAATCATTCACTAGAAACATGACGTCAAAATACATGTTTCTTCTCGACTAGGGATAAACATCGACAACCTAACGAGCTAATTCAACGTTTTATATATATGTACATGTATATAACAATGAAAAAAGAAACTGTGTTCGAAGAAACGTTTATTTTTTACACCTATATTATATTTCCACTATGTTTATGTGCATAAAACATGCATCCCACTATTTTACGTTTATTGGAGAAACGTTAAAAAATCTTTATTTCTGAATTAAAATTCGTTCCTTATTATCCCTTTAATTTTAATAATCCATTACGTTATGATTTTTAATATCGAGTCTGCTCGACTGGTTTTCATTTTCGCACAGCCGAATAATTCGGTAATTGGATCGTGGTACATTTGATGCATTCGGCACATAGATGAAAATCATGTTTGGCTTTTCCGGCGGATAACGACGCTAGATAATTTGGTTCATTATCATTCACTCGAAATTAATCCTGAAATACCGATGGCCGTCACGCATGAGAGTATTCCTGGATGTCATTGAATTTCCCGTAATCGTCGTTTCCAGCTAACCAAGATCGGAAAAACCACCGGCGTAATGACATTTGATGAAACCGGTCAGAGGGACTTTGAACTTCAAATCGTGGAGATTCAACAGAAGCACTTTGTGCAGACTGCAATCTGGGACAAAGATGGTCTACGATTTACTCGAAGTAGCGAAGAACGCGAGACCGACACCGCGAAAAGTATGGAGGACAAATTGTTCAGAGTTACCACGAGGGAGGTAATAAGACTCTATGATATTTTGTTGTGCACACGTAGAAAATTATTTGGTTGAATCAAAATAAACCTTTTGTTGCTTCAATCATGGAATACGGTTACTACATGAATAACCAAATATTTTGTTGACATGAGAAAGTTCTTTGTATCGTAACTTTCGATTGATTATATCAAATGTTAGGGTAGATATTATCATCATCTCCACCGAAGTAAAATATTTGGTTAATCGACTAAAATATTCTCCTAAATTAACAAAACGATTTAACAAAGCATTTTAGTTGATTGTAGCAAACGAGTTTGGTCAAGAACTAGAATTTGGTCCACTCAACTAAAACATGCTCCGAAATCAACCAAATGCAGTCAATCGGACTATTTTATTCCATAAAACGATTTTTTGCGTGTATTAAACAATCGCAAGTGAGCAGTAACAAATTATCTTAAATCAAACTGAATAGCTAAAATTTTACATCCCGATGTTAACTCTTCATGATCATCGTTATTTATAGTTACCCCCTGACTACTATTTTGTCGAGAATCACTTTTATTTTCATTATTGAGTGCTTTGACACGGGTAATTATTTCTTGTCATTTTTCCGGCACTTTAATTTAAGTAAACAATTATCAGGAATACAAATCCTCTGTAAAAAAAATTGTCCGCGAATTTGTGAAACTACCCAATAATTGGGTTGGCTGTCCTAGGGTGCACCTTTCATGATGGAAGTGACAGATGGTCCTACAAGAGGCATCATGATCGATAACAAATGGTGGGAAGGTTACAGCATAGACCTGATTGACGAAATTGCCAAAATGCTCAATTTCAAGTACAAGTTTGAATTAGTACCCGATGGAAAGTACGGGTCATACAATAAGAAGACAAAAACCTGGGACGGACTTGTCAAAAGGCTGTTAGATCACGTACGGAATTTAAAATAATAGTAATGCTTTCATCTAGTTCAGTTACTTCAATAGCGCACTGAGAAAAAACATTCATTGAACCAAAGAAATTCTTTGAACAGTACCATTGAAATATTTTATTAATGCAAAGGTTAATTATTCGACTCAAATAAATTGTTATAATTCCGAAGAAATGTTGCATGCACTTTTTTCGACATTATTTGAATATTGCTTTGGTATAATGACATTTTTTCCTCGATGCGTAATCGGTGTACTGTTAATTTCATTACAGGCTGCTGATCTGGCGCTATGCGATTTAACCATTACATCCGAAAGAAAACAAGCGGTAGACTTCACGATGCCGTTTATGAATCTCGGTATGTATCGCAGCGGATCAAAAGAATCTACAATAATAATCCTGGTTATTATTTATAAGTTTGTGGCCTCTCAGGTATTAGCATTTTGTACAGAAAACCAGAAGTCAAGCCACCTAGTTTGTTCTCCTTCTTGTCTCCACTATCAACGGATGTCTGGATCTACATGGCGACTGCCTACTTAGGCGTCTCTCTTATGCTTTTCATTCAAGCCAGGTAAGCATATTTTCAAATACCCGAGATAAACGTCCAGTACAAGTATACTCTGATTTCAAAAAATGTACATACAATCACGTCGATGCAATTCCAGAATGGCCCCAAGCGAGTGGGATAATCCTCACCCGTGCAATCCTGAACCTACAGAGCTGGAAAACAATTTCAATTTGAAGAACTCGTTATGGCTTACCATAGGCTCTCTGATGCAACAGGGCTCAGACGTCTTACCAAAGTAAGTTTAGATTCGGTTTCGGACATGAAATTAACATTTACTAAAGTTTCTACGTGCACGAAGTACTTTCCAAGTTCAACCACCCTGCAGCCCGATGACTCATTGTCGGTCTATTAGCACCCTGTAGCTTTTTCCAAGTACCATTGGTACAGAACTAAACAGTGTTTAAATATTCTTGGGGTAAATCTGTACAAAGTCTGTTTACCCACTGTGGCGAAAAACTACGCAGTTACGTTTACAATTTATTCTAAGGATGTCATCGCTAGCTCATACTTCGAGTGTCAATTTTCTTTGAAAATTGTCACGATATGAAAATAATAATGGGAATAAGAAGTAGAGTCCCTAGTACACTCATAAGCGAAAAATGTATACTATTTTGCATATTAAAACTAATGTCGATCTCGATCCCGAACATATACATAAATATTTTAGTATAAGCACGATTTGCATACCATGTTTCTTGTAAGACGCGATATGAGCTTTCGCGTACCGACAAATCTAAAACAAAAGAATGTGGTGGTCCTAGGAACTAAAGAAGATTATTTAAGAACCGATGGAACGGTTTTCTCATGAAAAACACAGATTATGAAAAGAAAACGCCGTAACTGTACAGTATTTAACTAGAGGTTGTCAAAAATCTGCTCGGATTTGTCCAAATAACATAAAATAGACAAAAGCAAGTAACCGAACGCAGTACTTCGCTTTGTCTATAAAGTGCACGTGAATACATTCTCTATTCCTTTTCACGGGATGGCACAACAACCGGGAATGCTACTGCCTCTTTTCATTTCGTTCCCCAAATGGAGTTCGGATCGATTCGATCTTTTCAATCGATTTCGGCATCCTCTTAACATCATTTGGACCTCGACCCAACAAAAACGAGTATAAGCGTTTTGGCAGTTTAGCTCCAAATGAGACCGATTTCATTAACATCTCCCCATCTTAAATTCTCGTATCAAACTTAAAATTCTCCCGCGCGTCCAGAAGTTCATACAAGGCAATAATTTCCGACCCGGGTACAGTTTGAGACCCGGCGTTACGGCGCCGTAAGCAATTCCTAGAAACCATTTCGACTCTCCGTCTGAAAAGCAACTAGGATCAAAGATCTCTTCTCCTCGGCAGCGCGACTGAAATTCGAATCCCTCGGCACTCCAGCGTCCGGACAGCTCCAATCGATCAATCAACGGGCGCCTCCCCGTCGCCGGAAGTTTCCTTTGTGGCCACGTCTCGTTACCGGCGCCGTTGGCCACGATAACCCTCGTGGCCCTTACGATAATTTATTCCGCCGCGGCTAGATCCCGCGACGATGACGGTGGGCGCTGCTTCGTCCGTTTCCGAGGAGAGCTTCTAAGCAGCTTCCCTGGAAGCCGGACCTACCGTGTCGGCGACATTTTTTACGACAATTAAGCTTAACGAGGTACTGTTTGCCGGACGTATTTGATGCGGCTTCCCACTTATTAGCGCCGGCTCGGCGTTAACTCTCGGCTCGCGTTGTCCTTCTTCCTCGTACTCCGGCCTTTCCGTCGGCGTCTCTTTCTCGCTCCCTTCCGTCCCGCTCGCGCGATCCTGCGTGTCCGTCCTCGCCGCGTCCTCGCCTACGAGTGGCGGCCCTTCGTGTGCGTTGCGAATACACCCGAGGGAATAGTTCCGACAAACGGACGCCATTTACATGAACCCCTCTCGCCCGTTCTTCGCCGCTTTGGTTAATTAAGAGCGAGATTTCCATGGGCGAGATGGAGGTGCGAGCCCGGCCTGCGACACTCGGAATTTTTCATCCGCCGCTCGACATTCCTTCGTATTTTCTGAGAGCTTAGGCTCGGAACGACCAATTTTATTCCGCACACCCTGATCAAAATAACCATGTAAATTTACATACTCAATGATTGGTTGTTTCGATGCCATGTTAAATTACAGGGAAATTGCGTTGCGATATATACTTCTTTACCAACCCAGATAGACAGTGATGCAAAATTTGTATCAAATTTGCCTCGTAAAAGATCAGGAAATGAGTCATGAGGGTGTTGCTTCATTGTGTAATATGCCATACATATATTGCAGACATTTCGTTCAGAAAATGGTCTGCAAATTGTTTGGAAATCGATTTTTCTCGTCATATAATGATCATGAGTTTCCATCTGGGAACATTTACCTCCTGACCACGTTATAGTCATGACGACCAAATTCTTCGACACAAAAGAACATTTTTTGCAATTACCAATTTGTCGATGGTGTAAGTACATGATAAAACACGTCTTACAGGGCACCATCGATTCGGATGGTAGCCGGAATGTGGTGGTTCTTCGTGCTTATCATGGTATCGTCGTATACTGCTAACTTGGCTGCTTTCTTAACGATGACAAAGATGGAGGTAACGATCGAAAGTGCCGAAGATCTTGCCAAGCAGACCAAGATCAAGTACGGTGCTGTCAAAGGAGGATCAACGTCGTCGTTCTTCAGAGTAAATGCTACAGAATATTGAACATTCATACATAACGTATCCTATTTTCATCCGATTGTCGTGTTTTCTAGGATTCTAATTTTTCCACGTACCAGAGAATGTGGACGGCAATGGCGGATGCCAAACCAAGTGTCTTTACTGCCACTAACGACGAGGGGGTAGATCGCGTAATTAAGGGTAAAGGAGATTACGCTTTTCTAATGGAATCTACCTCCATCGAGTACCGCGAAGAACAAAACTGCGAACTGACAAGGGTTGGGCACCCTTTGGATAGCAAAGGATATGGAATAGCGATGCCATTAAGTGAGTGTTTCAAGATTCCTCTTGGTATTTAGTAAGATATTCCGTCACAATTGTAACGAATAGATTTAATCTTCTTCCTTCCTCAATTTAAATATTTCACTCTATGCACACGAAACAATTGCTGGCTGCCTAATCGTCGAAACAAGCACTTTCATATGCGTTTAACCAACTAAAAATAATAATACGTTACAGTGTTTTGCACAATTTTTGAAGAGAGTGCTGTTACTGAATAACAAAGACACAATTGATCCGTAAACCAGGAATCTACCTTTGGTCCCGGCAAGTGTCGAAGGGCTAATTAATTTCTTATGATCAACCTTTCAGACTCAAATTATCGCACTATGATTAGCGAAGCCGTCCTGAAGCTTCAGGAGCAAGGTGTCCTCAACAAGTTGAAGAAAAAATGGTGGAAGGACCACCTCATTGCAACAAAGCGCAGCGGCAACTGCACAAACCAGGAAAACGCTGAAGAGGAGAACTCGAATGAGCTAGGAATGGATAACGTTGGCGGAATTTTTCTTGTGCTGTGGTGTGGCTGCGGGTTCGCCTTCCTCATTGCCATCTTCGAGTTCCTTTGGAACGTGAGAAAGGTTGCAGTTGAGGAAAAGGTGAGAAGAGCGAGTCAGTCAGTGATCGATGCAAGCGCTTCATCAAATTGTTATGAGAAATGTGTACAACGAAATATGGTCATGCTTTTCTCTTAAAGCAATCTTCCTTCTAAATATTTCAGTCATACTTAGAGCTCGTCTACAGTTCTCAAAATCGTAACTAGTATATTCAAATTTTCAAGAATTCAAATTCGAGGAATGTAACCGGGAATATTACGTTAATATAAGAATCCTTTGAGAAATTAAGGAATTTCAGAGACGTTCCGCAATTTATATCTAAATTAACTTTTTAAAATTATTGTTTTTAACTTAAAGTTTAAAATTAAAACTTAAGTTCTTAATGGTATGATGTGTTTGGCAAAAAAAGTTGATTTTTACCATTTATGGAGAAAAGGCAATTTTTATAGATATTTTTGCAATTAATTGAGAGAAATACATTTAACTAACATTTTGTACGCCGAAGGTGTGTTTTGAAAGTATGCTGTATTTTTAATACATTTACGTGAAAAAAAACATGCTTTCCACTATGTTGTAATTATTAGGTACATACGTTTTTATGCAAAACTGTTGCACTTCCGATTATATTCAATTTTGACAATACTTTCTTATAATTGGGATATCTAAACGGGATGTTTCATATTTTCTACTTGCTGAACTTTTTAAAGGCTTTATCTTCTATCTATTTATTATCTGTATCTTTCTCCATTTACTAAAACGCTGTTTTCGTGCGTATGTACGTATGTATTTGTATCACGAAACAAAAGTAACACTTTTTCGGCGGGTTCCGGTTCGTAATTTGGAAATCGCCGATACATGTCACTCTAAATCTGGGTCGAGGATATCAAAAGTTTCATCGGATGAATAAAATGTCAATCGCACGATCGAGATTCAGCAATTGATTGATCAAACTCGGCGCAATCGAGCCGTGCCGCCGAAGCCGGGGTATATCTAATTATCTATATTAAATGTGTACGCTTTCAAGAAGAGCAGCGCCTCAAAAAGAAAACGAACAAACTCCAAAGGAACGGACACATCTTTTGGTACCTACTGCGCATCTAGCATTGTCCCTATTCGTATTTCTAACGGAGATTGCTCTTTACTTATTCCAGAAACGTACTTTGTTTACAGATTACCCCAGGAGAAGCACTGGCGGCCGAGTTTAAGTTCATCGTGAACATTCGAGCGGTCACTAAACCGGTTAAGATGGCGAAGAGCAGTAGCACCACGAGTTCGGCAGTCGGTGGTTTTGAAAGAGCAGCTTCCACGGGAAGATCCATGGTGGGATCCTTTCTGCGCCTCAACATACTTGATAAATTTGACAAGGAAAACGGCAACAACAAAAGCAACGGTCACAAGATCAATTGATGGCAAACTGATAGGAATGGCCCTGCCTTTAAATGGAAATTCATCTGAACGTTAGGTAGACGTGAACAACGGAAAATATATTACCGATTAATACTGACACATTTAACCCGTCAAATTACATTTTTTTTAATACAAGACGAACGTCATAAACTTATTATACCCAATAATTAAATTCGATCCTCTGTGACTAATCCCGTGAATTTTAGGTTCGAGTCAATAGCACGAATTTTAGCATTTGTCACCTATTATGGGTCACGCTGGGTGCGAGCTAGGATGACTGTTCAGCCAATAAAGGACTTTATGGTGACTCTACTCGGGACCGTTGGTCAGTGCTGGGCAGGACAACTTAATACCAAGCTTTCGACCAAAGGTCCCAGAAGACTAGGAATGGCATTAAAACTGGAGATGGGACCAATCCCATAGCTCGGGACCACACCGAGATTTGTGCCACCGTGGGGGCCCGGCGGCAACATAGAACCGTGACTTTTCGGGCACGAACGCCGGCATACTTTATGGCGTCCATAGACAATGCATTGTGTATTCTTTTGCCGCTCTTATCCGTAATATATCTGTCAGGCGTGGCGACCCGATGGCCCGAACCTGACCTCAAAAACGCCGACGGGTTCATCGCGCGGGAAAACTTGAAATCTTGAACGCGTCTTGTATGGAAGCACTTTCAAAACCAGTCGTCCTTGTTACCGGTACGGAAAGTAATACCAAAACGGATGGACGAAGAGAGAGAACAAGATAATAGATACGGGATTCACGAATTATTTCCCGGTGACGAGATATACGTAATATGATGTTCATGGCAAAATATCTAACGAAAGTTTATCTATTCGACAAAATGTTTAGGGGCAAAATAAGTGACAGATAGAGGTTTTCTAAAGTCCATAATTTATTTAATAGGTTCGTTACGAGTTCAGTACAGGCCGAACGTAATAAGCACAGTAATTGTCTATAATCACATAAATGGATTACTGGAAATATGTTTTATGTTTAATACAACTATTCGAAATGATGAATAGAAGACTATTTGGGCATGTATAATTTATAGTAATTTAATAATGTTAACGACGTATGAAGTGAAATTTTTTCTATATAAGTAGGTACAATTTTCGTAATTTTTTTTACTAGCAAACTGTAATAAAAATAACGTTCATCATCCTACTTCCATGACACTTCCATTAATGTTTTCTAATTTCTTTTTATGTTGTATCACACTTATATGCATTAGAACGAGCCTAATGGTATATGGTAATCGAAGATAAGATTGCGTAGAATGCTAAGAAACAAAAAAACACGTTTTTTAATTATTGCCGAAGATTGCTTTTTGGCAAAAGAATATTTAAATTGCCTCACTGTACACCGGCGGGAATCATTACCCTAAATCTTCAAACATAATTTAATTGAATATGAATCCCGTTATGGATAAAACCGTCAGCTAACGATGCCGACACTCGCAGATCCGAATGTTAAACTTTCATCGAATATTCAGCCATACCGCTCGTTTAATTCGATTATTTCATTGCGGCGCTTCAGAACTACCGGGCTTATTTTATTCAATATACTCCATAAATCGATTTTTTCATAAAAACGCCGTGAGAGCGGTTTCGGGACTTCAATGCGATTACACGTGCTATTTGCCGACGAAGGAAGCATAAATCTTCCTACCTCATTATCACGATATCTGGAAAGTTATAATATTAAAATGTTCAGGAATCCCTGAGTAATGGGGTAATAAAGTTATCGAGGCAATTCATCCTTTTTCAGGCTCTAGAATGAAATATGTCGCGATTATGATCGCGCAATGTAACTCGGTGTCATTTCCCGAAGCTTTTTGCGGGTAGATTAAACGATCATCTTCGCAGCCATTTTCAAGGAAAATTTATGACTCGGTTACAATACTGCTAGCAATTACGTACGATACAATATCGTCCAATAAAAACTGTACCCAAAAAGTATTAGGACCGAGAAAGTTAATGCGATTCTTCCATTACAGAAAGCTCCACCGGAAAGCGTACTTTTTGTTGTGAAATTTCTGATGGCGATAAGTACACCACATTTCGTAACAAAAAATGTCTATTACGCCATAGTAACAAATAATCAAAGTTTCAAGTATTTAAGCAACAAGGAATTAAATTTTAGTCGTGTTCTAATCTCAACTGTAACAATGAAGTCTATAAATATAATTAATTTCTTACTTTTAATTCTTAGTGTTGTAGTTTTATTGACTCCCACTATATTAACCTTTGATTTTTAACAATCAATTAGCAATAGAAAGATTAAGAATTGTAGTAAAAAAAAATCTTCCATTTTCGTTGGACCACGTTTCCTCCCAATGAACAATTTTCCGAAACTTGCGGTAATTTATAAATAGTTTCAAGAAACCTATTTAAGAAGAAATTTTGCGCATAAATGCTTAAACATTTAATATATATTGTGTGGCCAAGCTAAGTCTCATATAAATCCATAAATTATACCGCAACGCGATATAACAAAACCTTGAAGTCTTCTCCGAAACTTGCGCTTTTGTCGGCCGATAGGTAAGATTACTTTCCAAGATGAACGATATCTCTCCTAGCTTAAATTGCCATGGCCAAAGAAATATGAAACGATCTGGATATTAATTATCCTTCCATCGATAAATTAATGGCCCAGTCCACAAAGAAGAGGTCAAACCCTAAAACATGTTTTGACTCCTGCAACACTATTAAAAGAAATGACGCCGCTTAAATGAATATACGTACACGAAATTATAAAAAGCATGAAATTACAATGGTATTATTTTTTATAAAATTGACTCTACTTAGCTATTTACTTTCTTGGATGGAAACTACGATTAGGAATCTAAATGGGGAAAATCGTACAGTATTGATTATAAAATCCACCTATAAATGTAAGAACAGCAGTTCTGCATAGTTGTGATTACTCTGATAAAAGTGTAAAATGGATAATGTAATTAAAGTATGTATTATTACCCAGAATGTTTACAATTACATGTATTTATGCAATTATAAAGGCACAAACTAGTCAACTGGAGCAATAATTACCACTTGGTGCGTACATACGCCAACGTTTGTGAGTTTACCGCTTAATGTGGACGAGTACAGAAAGTACTATTCGGTAATGTATTTATTGCTATTAGAGCTGACGGATTACAAATATGATATCCATTGTTACTACCCACAGAGATACGCACACTGCCTGCAACTTCCTGTTAGAAATAGATAAACAAGAAAATGAGACAACAAATTGGGTACCGAAGAAAGTCAGTTTGCGATGTAATATTCTAAAATTAATAATCGCACGATATCTTCCTTAAAGTTATCACTCCATACATTAATCGTTCACTATAATCCAAATCATTGACATGTATTCCACTGCGAATTCATAGTTAATAGTTTCTCGTTTTTTCGAACAAATAACATATTATTTATTTCTGGAAAATGCGAATTACGACAGTTGAAGAGAAGCGAATCTGGCAAAGACGTCCTGACAATTCCGGTGAGCAGCTCTTTCGTGTGACTTCATTCCTGCATCCCATACATACACAGAAATCCACCGGAATGTCACACGTGCATAGTCGCATCTTAGAACGTCTTTGTCATTTCTACGTGGGGGGTGCAGTTTGTCGGGCCGAGGCGCTGCTGTAGGTCCAGCACAGAATCCAACAATATTTGGACTGAGCCATAATGGCGTTAACGAACCGTACCCTCGGTTTAGAGGATTTTCATCTCGAGAAAGCCCCCGGGAGCGTTCGTGCCCCCTGGGGTACGCGGCACCTTTGTGTCATTATTTCCAGGGGACGTTTCGATCCGACCGGGCGAACTCTCCCTCTTGCCTGCAACCCTAGAAATAACGATTGACGTCAAAGGAAAAAGAGCGACCGTCTTGGAGGGCTCGAAATTGTTCGCACCAACGATGTTCGATGCCAACTTCCTTCTCCGGTTGGAAGGTCGGCTAGTTGTTAGATTTATTGCAGCTTAATCACCCGAGATCAGAATATTTCACACTTGGTTAGGAATTACCCCGTCGAACGAAAATTAGTTTCGCAGCGATTAAAATGAAGGAAAACCATCGGGAAACATAGAGGCTGGTTCGCGTGGAAATGTTCAAAAATCGTTTTTTGGGTTTTCGCGTTTTCTTTTTAAGTGCAACTTAATGATATTCTGCGAAAATTTCAGGACCTCCGATTCAAATTGACGGAGTTATGTCCGTTCTAAGAATAGAAAAGAAGAACAGGGAAATCCAAGAAGAAATAAGAAGAGGAGAGAATATGTCGCCACGGAAGAGCAAATAGATAGTTTGAAGGCTATGAATATTGTTAAAGAACCATCATATGTACCTGGAATAGACGACTATGTATAAGTTAACAAATGCATATTTTATATAAGTTTAAACCTGACTTGAGCCTTTGAATGCATTTTTCTTGAAATTACATCTTCGAAATCAGTAAATGCAGTTTCTCAAACATCACCCTACAGATTTGTACAAAATTTTATACTTTGATTTATATAAAATTTGTATGAAATTGTAGCAGAGCAGCATATCTTACATTTATCAGCAGAATATCATTTTTACCTGGAATTAAGCGAAGAAACCCATACGGTGCAGGAGCTATTTATCTTTCGTTGAACCTTCACTTAGTCTGTCCATACGCAATTATATTAATCAAGTCTCAGGCATGACAGTTGCAAGAAAACAACTTAATATGCAGTACTTAATGTCCAGCCCCTAGGTTAGTTTGTGCAACCCACATAATATAAAAATACAAACATATTGCTACTAATTACACGGTAGCTCTTAACGTCATTAGGCTATCAATTTCCCTGATACATTATCACAATATAGTTCCCGGATAATAACCCGTCAGAATTAATGATAATCCATGATTTATTTTTGTACTGCCCTGCAGCACTGACAAAAAAGTTCAGAAATGTAATATATATTTTAAAAACAATTTTGGAGAAAAGCACAATTTCCATTCACATTTCTTCAGTTACTATTTTTGCAGACAGGAGGTGATTCGCTAATGGCGACATTTCGAGGAAAGTAGCAAAGTTTAGGAAGAGAGGAGCTTGAGACAACGAAACTTCATGCTTAAAAAAACTTACTAAAATATCTATTTTAGTAATTCTCACGAAATGAACTTTAACTATTATTCCGGCATCTTCTAGAAATCGACCCACGTTGTCCGAATCGCTGATTTACATATGAAAGCGGTAATAAAAAATGGCAGAAAGAATTAACGAACTCGGTACAGCCTCGGAACAAGTCAAAATTTCATATCTTTCAGTCGTCACGGTACTAATGATTAAACAACGGCAAATATCTTGGACTTGGTTATGAAGATCGCAGAATTGGAAAATAAGAAACAAAAGATCCGTTATCTCTCCCGTTCTATTTCTTAACGATTTTTTTTATTGGATGTAATTGGATGCGCAGCGTCACATGGCGGCAGCCTAACTACAAGAAAAGGAGGAAAAGGATGGCCTCTTCGCTGCCTTCGCAAGAGTATCAAGGGAATGGTTCGTTCGTGAGGTCGATACATCCCAGGTCCATGGAGGAAATGAAATAACGCTTCGGAGGTGGCGGTGCATCTTTGGCGCGCATGGCGGGTGGCGCGAGAAAGGCGTCGCGGCGCGACTCGGCCCAACAGAGGGGATTCGAATGATTCATAGAACTCCCGAAAAGGCTCGGCAATTATTCAAGACGAGGCGGAGTGAGGTGTTGTCCTGTGCAAACACGAGACGCGTGGGAGGTCCTTCCTCCGAACCCCCGCCGTTCGTCCTGCCGAGGAGGCTGACGCCTCTATCTGACTCCCTAAGTACTCGAGCTTCGACCATCTCGGCTAGACGACCGGCGACAAAGCGCCATTCGCTCGGCTTCCTTGGAAACCAAAGGTAGGAATCCATGAGCCCACGTGACGCATCGTGCCATGACGTGACGCACTGACGAAAGTTTAGGTTGTGATCCATGGACCCAGGAATAGAGGGACTGGGCATTTGTCCGCGGGGTTGATGCCGAAGGGAGAGTGGTCGGCCGTATTGTCATGTTCAAGTGCCGAACATCACGAAGTCAAACGAAGTACTAATTTAAACATGATAAATTGAAAATTTTCAGTTTTGTCGTTCTCTAACGTACGTTTACACGTCAATAGAAGAAATGAGTTTTAATAAACGATCTTATAGACGAAGATCTCAAGAAAACCGATAGACTTTTTCGCAAAGTACGCGCAAATCGTGTCCAATAGACCCATGTGTTGTCCTGATTCATGCCGCGTATACATGAAAAGGCTTCATTAATATGCATGCACGAAACCAAGGCATCGTTCTCTATGAGTTGGTTTGGAAGATTTCGGTCTCCGTCCCGACTGGCGGCGCTCGGCAGGATCAAAAAGAGACGAGGGGAGACTCGAACTCGGTAGCCGAGGTTTCGATCGGTAAACAGATTGGAATCCATCCGGGGCGTAGAGAGTTCCATTTGACAATAATACAACTCATTCCGTTCCCGCGGCCCAATTCGAAGAGCGCGGTCTCATTAGGGACCAGCAGGCGGTCCCGGATATACGTCCTTTACGTCTTAGACCGCCTTCCCTTTTCTGTACTTCGTTTTAAGGCGATGTGAAAGTGCTGCTTTACCGACCGGGTTTGGCCGATTGCGATTGATCGCTCTAATAAATAATCGTCAAGAACACGCTAGCAGACGATAACTTTTAATTGCAAAATTTCATCGAGGAGGCATTCTCGGCACTAGATCACAAAAAATCTGAAGACTTGGACCCCTAAAGTGGGAACCATATCAATACATGGCGTTGAATCTCCTTATACTACTTCGTGATACGAACGTTATGGACTACTAACGCGCTATCCCGCCGCTTGGCTCTCTTCGCCTTCAATTAAGCTGTTGAGCTGTTCGGCATTTTTTGACAATATTTTTTCAACGATCCCTAGGATTCAAACGGCTATGATGTACAATAAGAAGTTCTCAGAGGAATGAAAATTTCGACTCTGATCGGAAGGACGCGAAGCCGCTCTCGGGTGGTGGTGGAGCTCCAAGGAGGGCATCCCGAGTTAACGCCGAGTGGCTCGGAGGCAGGATTTATCGGTCACGAAAATCGATCGTTCCCACCTCCGGGCGCAGCGCTTTCAGGAGTTCCTCTCCTCGGGCCTTTTCTCCGGCGCGTCCTTCCTCCGCAAGCCGCGGA